CTCAGCTTGTCGATCAAAAGGTTGGCTGTTTAGCGGTTCGAATCCCTAGTGCCACGTAATGGGGTGAGCTCCCGCTACTTGTCCCGGCTTCTGCCAATCTAGCAGTTCGAAAGCACGTAAAAAATGCAAGTAGAAAAATAGGGACCACCTTTGGTGGGAAGGTAACAGCGTCCCATGCACCTTTGGTGTTGAGTCATGCCGGCCACATGACCACGGAGACGTCCTCGGACAGCGCTGGCTCTTCGGCTTTGAAACAGAGATGAGCACCACCCCCTAGAGTAGGGAATGACTAGCACATATGTGCAAGGGAACCTTTACCTTTACTTAATATGTATGTTCATTCTCCGCTCCCTTATTTCTAATGGCCGTCTGGTGCTTTTGTTCTTCTTTGCCTCTTATATTTTACTGATTCGTCTTTCCCCTTTTGATTGTGCGCTTGTACACGAGATTGCACGGTTGACCAAAGCAAGCTACGTAGACTGGCATCCTATCTCGTGAGGAAAATGTCTGCCTCAGAGAAGTTGGGATAAAAATGATCATAAAAGAATTCAGCTTCCTTTTGTGGCTACCAGCAGGAGTGAACTGACTTGAATGAGAGCAGCAAAGCAGAAAGCTTTGAAGGAACAAATAGAGTAGGAGTGTGAAGAAGGGAGGACATTTCAACTGAATATACGCTGGAAAGCTTTTTCTCAGTTAACGGGCTCAAAAGCCATCTAAAAATAGAAAATGTCCTTGATGTTTCAAGTTGCATAGGGCCCAACAGCTGGAAAATGAAAGTAGAACCAGTGGTTTTACTTGAACAGTTGGCAAACAAAAATAATCATACTTAAAGAGTGGAACCAATCAAACCAACGGGACCTGCTACTCATAATTATGTTAAATATTAAGGGCTTCAATAAGTCCCTGCTAAGTATGATTAAAGGTGGATTCAACTATTAACAACAATTTCATCATAATCATAATCGCATAATCTAGCCTAGGTAGTAACTGGATTTATATACTAACTCATCATGAAATGGATACATTATAATACCAAAATAATAGTACAATATATTGAAAATCAAGCAATTGGCCCAAAGATAACCATAGATAGGATAGCTGGAAAAGTTCTAAGCTTTAATGTCAATAGTGTTGTGGAAGAATTTGGAGAGCTTGTGGGCTCCCTCTTAATGGTGAGAAGTATACAAATCACAAGATTTTCTACTCCAAGCTTACTCGTTTGCCTCTCTTCTTAGTCCACTGCAGAACTTAATGTACAGCAACAAATCTTCCTAGATCAGGGGTCGGCAACCTTAAACACTCAAAGAGCCATAAAGGTCCTATCTGGAAGCCCCCATTCAATTCTGGAGCCAACCGGAAGTCCGGTTCCCCCATCATAGTCTCCTTCTAGCACGGCGTCCTTTTTTCTCTGCTGACCAGAAGTCCAGTTCCCTCACCATAAAGTCTCCTCCTAGCATGGTGTCCTTTTTCCTCCGCCAACTGGAAGTCAGTTCCCCCCACCATAGCATCCTTTTTCCTCTACCTGTCCTAACCGAAAGCTCTATCAATTGTGGAGCCAACCAGCAACAGGGAGCCACAGCAGAGGGATGAAAGAGCCACATGGGGCTCCAGAGCCACGGGTTGCTGACCCCTGTCCTAGATGATGCTCAATATAATAATGGTCATATGCTTAGCATGATTTTGGCCTTATGAGCCTCAAGTCACTGCTATTTCTCTGACCAATCTTCTTCTGATTTAGACCCATCTGCCTTTGACTACTCAACTGACACAGTGCATTGACCCTTCTGAAAGAACTCATCACCCCAAAAGCCAATTTTATCTAGCATTCAAAGAGATCAACCAGATGTTTGTGGAATTGCCGTTATCAAATTCAGAGAGCAACAACTCCGTCCCAACTGATCTTCTCACATAGGCTCTGAAGCTCCATTCAAGGACATGTTGCTGACCAAGTCCAAGCAAAATTACATAAACTGGATGCAGACAATGATCTTAATTATGTGCCAGATATGAAGTAGATTCATCCCGAAGCAACACTTTCTCTCAATGATGGGATTTCAAGCTTCAACATGACCTGCATTTAGGTCGAAAAAGAATGTCCCATGCAACATTGTTCACACATTCAGGATGAGAAACCGGACCACAGCTTAAGTAGCAGGGTGATTTTCTGATATGTGTGACTATGATTTCTTTGCTTCTTTCTCACTAACCATGATGGTTGAGATAACAGAAGCTGAAGGCCTTATATATAATAGAACTTGGTGGTATGGCAAGAACAGAACATGTTCAATAATGCAACTCTGCCTCCTTCAGGGAACTTTTATCACATCTTGTCTAGACACATCTGTCAAAAACTTTCCATAGTGATCTAGGAAGCATGGTTTTACATGTCTATTTAGCTCCTAGAGTTGAATGTCTTTTTACTACATCCTAGTGGCTCATTTTGCAACACTCGAAAGAAAAATCCATGCTGCTGATACAGCAGGGAACTAAAACACTTCTTTCCTTGTCACTCAATGAACTGACAACTTACACCAATATGTGAACATGCATAAAGCTATTTGGTCGGATTTTTCACAGACTATTATGCTCACAGCGAAACAATAATTCATCCGTGTTGGGATTCTGCCATCATTGGACATTTGACTGCTGACCTCTTCTTATCCTTTCATCCACTTTCTCTTTTCCGTCTTTTTTTTTTTTTTTACTCATTTAATGTTGATTTAAAAGATAAGAAGATAAAGGTCCCCCTCACACATATGTGCTAGACGTTCCCGACTCTAGGGGGCGGTGCTCATCTCCGTTTCAAAGGTGAAGAGCCAGTGCTGGCCGAAGATGTCTCCGTGGTCATGTGGCCGGCATGACTCAATGCCAAAGGTGCACGGAACGCTGTTACCCTCCCACCAAAGGTGGTCCCTATTTTTCTACTTGCCTTTTTTACGTGCTTTTGAACTGCTAGATTGGCAGAAGCTGGGACAAGTAATGGGAGCTCACTCCGTTACGCGGCACTAGGGATTTGAACCGCTGAACTGCTGACCTTTCGATCAACAAGCTCAGCATCTTTGCCACTGAGCCACCACATCCCTGATTTAAAAGATACAAAGAATAATATTCTGAATTTTAAAATGGTTTGACAAAGATTAGATCAACTAAGTTTAAAAAAAAACATAACAAGACTTGGATATTGGGTAGCATAAGCAAAAAGAATAGTCAACCAGTGGTTCCCACAATTTAATTAATTGCATGCATATTCTCCTGCAATCAAGAATGGCTCTCAACAGTTTACAAGATACTGTACAAGAAAACCTAATCCATTTATAGTTCTTCTAATTAAAAACATCTAAAATTAACACATCATAAAGGAATCAAACACATTAATTAAATAAAAACACATGCTAATTTTGAACTAAAGACGCTTTCCAAAAGAGCTCCGTTTTTGCATTTTCCTAAATGCAACCAGGCAGGGGAGCAGTTTGATTTTACTTGCAAAAGTGTTTCAGAGGGTTGATGCTACCACCGAGAAGCATCGTGGTTTCTGCCCTCCTTAATCCCTGAAGGGAAACTCTCAGCTATTTCTCCTGACCTATTACAGATCAAGCCAATTCCTGAGTTTTAAAAGCTGAGAAGAATCCGTGAGATTCATGGCAAAGAAAACTGCTCGGTCTCAAAATGAAACAGTAGAATAGAAACAGAAATTCGTGCCCATGAGTTCTTGACGGATTCCAAATGCAAGAAAAAATTTAAGATTAACACTACTAAGGTGACCAACTTTTTTTACAATGAGAAGGAGGACACAAATAAATAGAAGAAAAAAAGAGAAGTGAGTCTAATGCGTGTGTGTGTGCCATGTCGTGTTTCGGTAAGAAGTAAAACAAAGCCACTTGCGCGTGGCGCACTCTCTCAAAACAATTCTCCCGTGCGGAGCGCATGTGTCTCATAATCGCGTCTCGACACACTGTACCGAGCCTTGACGAATCATCATGTCAAATACAATACATCGCATCACATGCAATGGATCGAATCGGCATCGATCCGATACGGAGATTTACAGATTAGTCTTGAAATATCGAAAAGGAGGACATGTAGGAGGACGCTTTTCGGGAGAGGACAGAACTTACAAAAGAAGGACTGACCTCCCTAAAGGAGGCCAATTGGTCACCTTAACACTACTGACTTTTTCTGGTAAATTATCCAAAACCAGCAGTCTATTTTCCCATAATTTTTAGCAGGACACTAAAGAAATAAGTTGCACTTGGCTTTAGAACACCAATGCCTTACTTAAATCAGCAAAACCACTGAAAATAGGAGACTCGGTCAATTCCATGACATCATAACTACCCTGAACCTCTGTGGCTGAGGACAGATCATCATGAAAAAGTTCTAGCCATTCATTCTCTAACTGATCATCCATCCATCCATCCATCCATCCATCCATCCATCCATCCATCCATGCAAAGCCCTTTAGAGGAGGATCTAATCTTTATTCATCTTATTTCTATGTTTGATTTCATCCCATCTTTATTATTTTTGTAAATAACTCAAGGCAGTGAACATATATAATATTCTTTCTTCCCTCTATTTTCCCCACACAACAATCATTCTCTGAGGTGGGTTGGGCTAAGACCAAGGGACTGGTCCAAGGTCACCCAGCTGGATTTTCATACCTAAGGTGAGACAAGAACTCACAGTCTCCTGGATTTCTAACCTGCTGCCCAATAGGCCAAATTGGCTCTAGGAGAAAAGTGGAAGGAAAAAGAAGAGGACAACCAGCAGAAAGGTGGATAGTCTTAGTCACAATTGTGAGGGATGCATTGTTGGAAGACTTGAAAGACCAAGTTAGGGACAGGTTGCTCTGAAAAAAAAAAGCTATATGGTTGCTAAGAATCATCAATGACTTGATGGCACACAATCAATCAATCAATTAAAGTATTACATCATTATTGCAATACTCTTCCAAGCTAAAAAAAAATTAAGATGGCTTCAAATAAAGATAATCCACATACCGATACCATTCATGATGGGCGCCTCGTTGTTCACTTCGAGAACGCCGGCCAAGTTGGCTTCTCCTTCAGGTTCATTCAGATCCTCGTTGGCCTTTTGAGAGCCATTCCCCAAGTGAGCAGAGTCCTTCTCGAAAGGGGCATCTCCATTCTGCAAGCCGTTGTGTGGCTTTTTCAGAGGCATGATTTGCAAGCCGCTGGGCGTAGTCCGGTACGATACGGTTTTAGCAGCTCTGTCGTTGGAAGAGGCAGCTTTCGCTCCGTAGCTTTTTTTGGGCTTTGGAAAAGTGGGGGTCATACGCTTCCTTTTATGGGAGAGTCCTTTGCTTTTCCCAGAGTCTGAGGGTCTGTGGGTTATTTTGTCCAGGGATGATCCCCGGCTTTCTCGTAAAAATTTGGGCACGTTGGCTTGTTTCCCGTGTTTCGTTCGCTTTTCCCTCGTGACGTGCAGTCCGTTGAATTCATCAATGAATTCCTCACAGTGCAATAAGTGATGTTCTGGTTCCCATGTGTCTTCATTGCTTCCATATCCTTTCCACCGTATGAGATATTCCCATTTGCCCTTTTTATTCTTCCTTTTGTCTACAATCCTTTCAACCTAACAGGAAAACAAAGGAAGAGTGGGGTGGGAATGGAGATTTTACAGTTTCCTTCCCCTGCCACACCCAATGAGCCACGCCCACCGAGCCATGCCACGCCCACTGAGCCATGCCCACAGAACCAGTAGTAAAAAAAAATTGAATCCCACCACTGACTGTAATTGTAAATAAATAAAAATATATGTTTTCTCTACTTTTAAAATATGCATAGTCATCTTAGAAGAAACCTTCCCAGCTCATTCTCAGCTCATTCTCAGTATTCCTTTCTACAGATGCTTTATTGTGAGAACCAGTTTGCGACATTTTTCTTTTTTTGTTTTATTTATTAAATTTATATAGCTGCCTATCTCACATACATGACTCTGGGTGGTGTACAATAACACATTCAAGTAAACAAAGATAAAACAAAGAAAAAAAAAATAAAAGAGATTAAAAGAGAGCTATAAATAACACCAGGGGAAAATAGATTTTTCTGGACCACAAATGGTACCAGAAGTCTTTATTTATACCAGAATGAACTTGAAATGTTTCAAATATTTTCTCTCAACTGGTTCTAAGTGGAGAGGAAGTATTTTACTGGTTCATCATAGCTACTTTTTAAGGGAGAGTGGTGGTCAGATTTATTCTTCCAGCTTTACTGGTAACATATGATACAACTATGAGGATCCCCCATAGCGTTTTGTGGTAGCTTTTAAGAATGCGACAAAATGATTAAAAATTAATGACATCCAGGGAAGCTTAGCAGAGTTTTTAAGCATAATATTGTGCACTCTCAGTTAAAAAGTATAGAACTTGGGGGTGTTTAAATGTGAATTTAAAACACATCGGGTGTATTTTAAAACCTGTATTTAGTGCTTCTGTACTGGAGCTTATCTATCATTGCAGTCCAGAGGCTTGAACAGCTTACATTTATTTGACTTTTTAACTTTTATGGTAGAAGTGTGAAATACACAGTACGAGGGAATAACAACAGAGATAAATAATAACAAAAGCTACTAAGAAAGAAATGACGATCACCAAGAACAAAAGTTTCCGAGAACAGCCCAAGCTACGGGGATCTAAGTTAGATAAGATCGTCCCTCAGAGTTTTCTCAAAAACCCTGTGTTTAATGGCTCTGCTAAAGCACCAGAGGTGAATTTCAGCAGGTTCTGACCAGTTCTGGAGAACCGGTAGCGGAAATTTTGAGTAGTTCAGAGAACCGGTAGTAAAAAATCTGACTGGCCCCGCCCCCGTCTATTCTCTACCTCCTAAATCCCAGCTGATCTGGAAGAAATGGGGATTTTGCAGTATCCTTCACCTGGATTGGGGAGGGAATGGAGATTTTACAGTATCCTTCCCCTGCCATGCCCACCAAGCCACGCCCACCAAGCCAAGCCATGCCATGCCATACCCACCAAATCACGCCCGCCATGCCATGCCACACCCACCAAGTCACATTCACAGAACCGGTAATACAAATTTTTGAAACCCACCACTGTAAAGCACCATAGCGGTTCTTTTTCTGAAATCTTGGAAACATCAATATTTATAGTTTCCCATTTCCAAAGGATATTTTCATTTTGAACGGAATCATAGAAATGGAACTGTTTCTGAAAATAGACCAAATCAAATGTAGAAGACAGAGAAGCTTGCAATGGTCCAAAAATGAATGAAAATGATAAAAAAAAAAATACAACCAATCAAAAGATGCTGAAACTGTTGATAAGTGATAATAATTCAAAATCAGAAAATGGAACTTATTAAAGATTTTACATTGCAAAGCACGTATTCTAAGCCCTAGTCCACCCGTTTCAGTTTTTTCTAATATTTTTTTGTATATTTATAATACTGTGGAAGGCAAATAGACTATATATTTTTTTGTTTTACTGCAATACTGATTGCCTCTTTTGTTTTCAGTGTACAAACTTTCTGTCTTCTCCTAAACATGCCAAAATTGAGGTACATGACTTCCTTCAGAATTCAGTATTTTATTGTGCAATTTGTAGTAATGGTTAAAATATTCAACAAACTGTGCCTTAACTGTCTGAAAGGATCCAACTTTTCATTTTTATATATGAAACATGCTTGATCATCCATTTATTTATTGATCATGTTTTATAGAGACTTTTATATATGAAAGCTAAAGTAAAGTGTGCTACAAATTAAATATTATATATTAATTTTCCTTGTAGAAAGGAAAGGAGCACCGGTCCTTCTCCTACAAGAATGAAATATTTTGAGAAATATTAAAAAAGGCAGAATATTATATTTCCCTGGATGAGAAATGGAGAAACATGTTCTTGGAAAGCAGCCCCCACCTTTCTTAATAGCTCCCAGCAGATATTTTGTGCCCATTGAGAAAGATTGGGCCAGCCTATCTACAAAACAAAGAACTTCAGCCAGTGGTGAAATCCAATTTTTTTTACTACCGGTTCTGTGGGTGTGGCTTGGTGGGTGTGGTGTGGCTTGGTGGGCGTGGTGTGGCTTGGTGGGCGTGGCAGGGGAAGGATACTGCAAAATCTCCATTCCCACCCCACTCCTGGGGGAAGGATATTGCAAAATCTCCATTCCCACCGAACTCTGGGGCCAGCCAGAAGTGGTATTTGCCAGTTCTCCGAACTACTCATAATTTCCGCTACCGGTTCTCCAGAACCTGTCAGAACCTGCTGGATTTCACCCCTGCCTTCAGCTCCCCAGGGCAATGGGATTAAGACATGACCCTTCAGGACATAATAAATTAACCCACTACCATCTAGCAGCAGAGCTCACCACATTGCATAATCTCCTAAGGACATTGCACCAGCAGCCCGAGCATCAACCAAACTTAGCTCAGACAAACTCCTAGGATTTGTACACGGCACCATGAGAGTCTGACAACAGCCAATAGAATACATGTTCTTGCACAGGAACAGGAAGCTCAAGTGCAAAGCCCAAGTGAAGGTATAAATACCCCCCCTCTCAGCTCCATGTGGTCAGCTGCACCAGGACCACAAACACGTGGACCTGTTCATCAATAAATGGACCCTCTTTCCAATCAGCCTCCAGCCTCCATTTTGTCTCCAGTGCCTTTCTCCCAGATTGGAACTGAAGCAGATGGATGTTTCTTCCAACATCCCCAAATCCATATGGGGAAGAAAGGACCCTCCCCTTTCCTTCTGCATTGCATCAAAATTTCCAAAAAATTTACACTTCTATGCAAACTAGTGAGGCAAGGAAACATCTGTTTCAACAGATCTCAAATTTCAAACAGATTTCAAGCATCTCTTGAGAATATTCCACCGCTGGCTATACAGATGGCTCTCAACACACACTGAATGAATGTTGAATTAGGGAAGACATATATGGGAAAAAAATTTCATGGAAAACTAATAACTACCATGTCCTGAAAAGCTGGGTTTTTTCACCTCAACAAAGTGAAAGTCGTGATGACTTACGTTGAACTATATTGTATTACTGGGAAAACAAAATCTGTCATTTTTTCAAAATAAAGTTCAGAACAAGGAAAGAGAATAATCACCCATACATATGGCGTTCCCTTAACTAAACAGTTAAAATAAACTTCGCATCATGAAGTATGACTTTTTAGCTGAAGATATCTGGAAATCTTTTAACAGCTAAAAATCACCTGGAGACCAACCATTTAACCTGAAGAAGCACAAATGAAATTTATTGACTGAACAAACTATGGACTTGATCATTTCATTCAATGAAAACAATTTCAGCTGATGACTCTATATGTGACATTTCTAATGATCAATTACCAAGGTCCTATTCAAAACTTATGGGAACTGTGAGCAATCCTAGGTCTCCAGTTTTTACACCTCTACACTGGAAAGACAGGATTGTAAGAGCGATTGATTTTTCCAGCTACTAGAACCGTGATGGCGAACGTATGGCACGCATGCCACAGGTGGCACACGTAGCCATATCAGTGGGCACCCCAGCTCAGCTCCAGCGCGCATGCCAGCTGATTTTTGGGCCTTCTGGGCCCACCAGAAGTAGGGAAACAGGCTGTTTCCTGTCTCTGGAGGGCCTGGAGTGGGTGGGGAAAGCCCGTTTTTCTTTCTCACCTGGATCCAGATCCTCTCTATGCATCTGGGGAGGGCAAAAACAGCCTTCCCCATCCCTCTGGAGATCCTCCGGAGGCCTGAAATGGCCCGCATAGAATTATGGGTGTGGGCACACACGTGCGCAAACCTCCCCCACCCCTCCTTTCTGGCACGCGATGGCAAAAAGGTTAGCCATCACTGTACTAGAATCTAAAATACCTCTCTTTTCTAGTGACCCAGAAGCAGAGGTGGGTTTCAGCAGATTCTGACCAGTTCTGGAGAACAAGTAGAGGAAATTTTGAGTAGTTTGGAGAACCGGTAAATACCACCTCTGACTGGCCTATTCTCTGCCTCCCGAGTCCCAGCTGATTGGGAGGAAATGGAGATTTTGTAGTAACCTTCCCCTGGAGTGGGGTGGGAATGGAGATTTTACAGTATCCTTCCCCTGGAGTAGGGTGGGAATGGAGATTTTACTGTATCCTTCCCCTGCTACGCCCACCAAGCCATGCCCACCAAGCTATGCCACGCCCACCAAGCCAGAACCGGTAGTAAAAAAATTTGAACCCACCACAGCCCAGCAGATACAGAACATATCTTTTATTTGATCTCTGTTTCTTAAAATTTCCTGTAATCTTGCCAGTCTCACAGATATGTGAGACATATCACAGATATAAAAAAATCTATAAAAAAGATGTTGAGATTCTAGAAAGAGCGCAGAGAAGAGCAAGAAAGATGATTAGGGAACTGATGGCTAAAGCATATGAAGAACGGTTGCAGGAATTTGGTATGTCTCGTTTAAGGAAAAGGCGGCCAAAGGATGACATGATAGCAGTCTTCCAATATCTGAGAGGCTGCCACAAAGAAGAGGGGGTCAACCTGTTCTCCAAAGCACTTGAAGGCAGGACAAGAAGTAACGGATGGAAACTAATCAAGGAGAGAAGCAACCTAGAACTAAGGAGGACTTTCCTGA